CCCTCTGCTCCGCTCTCCCCTCCGCAGGCGGCGCGGCCCAGCCCGAGCCTCGGCCCCCTCTTACTGCCGGATCCTGTGCCGCACGGCGAGGCGGAGGACGAGGAGGAATGGAGCGGGAGCTACCAGCCCTTGGCCGTGGAGCGGGCCCATCTCGCCGCCGCGGGCCCTACCTCGCCTTCCGCCGGCTCCTTCTTCTGTGAGGGCGCGGGGCTGGCAGGCAACGAGGACCCGAGTGTGGCTTCCCTCGGAGTCCCCCCGGGGCTGGGCTTTCACTCCTTGAGGCAGCCCAGCTACGAGGAGGTAAGCACCTCGGCCGACCTCCTGGCACCCTTCTCATGGGCAGACACAAAAACTACCTGCGGGCTCCGTCTCCTGTCATGCGAGCTCTGAGCTCGTGTATCAGGTTATTACGGAAACCTGGTGCCCGAGTGTGCTGTCAGCAAAGCTGAGTTTGCCTGAGCGTGCTGTCAGCAAGGGCTTTGCGATATGTGGCAGCTTGTTGGAGCAGCTTGAAGAGAAGTAGTTCTGAAAAACTGCTCTGCTGCATGACTCAGATCCAGTACCTTGTCTGTCCCACTGCTTTTGGCCGTGACCTAGGTGTCTGCCTCAGGCTCTTGCCCATTGAGGTCATTAATTTAGCTTTAACAGCATTTGATTAGTAACATCCTGCTTGTTAGTGCCACATTTCTGTGCCCTACGGGGTTAGTGAAGTGGTTCTGAGTGGGGAAAACCAGGTGCAAAAAAGCTTGAATGTAATAGAAAGTGCCAGACTTTTCAGCACTAGAATTAAAGCTGAATATTACTTCTCATACTGCTCTTGGAGTGCTAGTGGTGTGAAACCACACACTCCATTTCTAATGAGAATTTTTATTTTTTAGCTAAAAGAAGAGAATGCCAGTTTGAGAAGCAAGATCAATAAGCTTCAGATTTTCTCTGAAACTCAAGCAGACAAGTGCGTAAGCCACAGTATGGGGGAAAGTAACCACATAAGCAAGGAGTTGTCTTAGAAGAGGTGCTCACTGGAAACAGTCAACATCTTTAAAGAAGAAAAATGTAGTTGAAATCTATGCTATTTATTAAAAAGCTTTAGCAAACCTGATTTTCTTATTGAAAAAATCCTGGAAAGTAAGTAGCAAGCTGACATCTGATGAGTGTGTATGTGTGGCTTATGCTTCATGCAGTTTAGGTGGTTAGTGAGAATGAGGGTAGAGCTTTCATAAAGCTTCAGATTAACAAAATAATGAATCTTAATCTCTCTCCTTTGAGGGAAGAAAAGTCTGTTTGTTTTTGTTGGAGACTTGAACTTCCTGAGGTTAAACAACCTGGTGACCAGTCTAGGGTGGCAATTTCTTAAGTTCCCGTCTGAACCCTCTGGATTCTGCTGCTCCTCTCAGTGAGGCAGCTGGTACTTTCATGGTGATGGGGTAACCATTTGTTTCAAAATTACCCTTATCTAGACTGTGAGCGGCCTGTTTTCTGTACAGCCTTTCTGCATTTAGCTGTATAGTTCCCATTAATGCTGATGAATGTTGAACAAAGAAATCCCCCGAGCCACAGCCTAGAAGTGTTGTTCTGTGGGAAGATTTAATTTTTCTTATAACATGAAAGAATGTGTTTCTTTGTCCTTCCCTCAAATTTTCTCCCTGAAGTACTTAATGTTACAAGTTCTTACTGCACATTGTCTCTTCTTTTTAAGGATGAGGAAGCTTGAAAAAAAGCTTGAGGAAAACAAAATTAAAGAAGAAAAAGAAGCACAGGATTTGGAAGCAATGGTGCAGCATGTGGAACAAAACCTCCAGCTGATGACTGTAAGTGTTGGCATTTGCCGTAGTGGCAGAAGCTTGCGTGGAAGTGGTGCAGTTCTGTTCCTTTTCCCTCCCTCAGGAGAGTGAGGGAAGCTGAAGTGGCTCCTTCAGTTGTGTGAGCACTAAACAGCTCTGACGTGGGGTCAGATTCTTCCTTTGTAGTAAGGCTGCGTCCCAGTCTAGAACTCCTTTCATTACTGAGAATCAGGGAGGTCTTTGCATTAATCTGCAAACCATTTCTGCATTCATCAACAACTTCAGTTGCTTTTTTGCAGCCTTCTGAAAACACCTCCTATGTGAACTAAGAGTTGTTTTTCCTGCTTGCTTATTTATACTGAGTACCTTTTCCCCTTGTCCAAGGAAAAAAAAAAAAAAAAAAGAGAGTAACGTCCAGAAGCAATGGATGGCACTTGAAGATATCAGAGAGGAAAAATGGGGAGGAGACAGCTGGTCAGATGTGCCTGGGGGCACTATCCCCATTTTGTAAAGCACTCGGAACACAAGGTGGTAAAACACGAGCCATGTCGCCTCAAGTTATGTGTTGGAATCACTGCCTGCTGCATCCTAAGTATTGCTATGGTATAAATAATCTTTATTCTATTTCAGAAACGGGCTGTTAAAGCAGAAAACAGTGCCACGAAACTGAAACAGGAAAATGCGTTACTCCAGGTACAAAGCAGTATTCTTAAAACCTCGCTGAATGGACTGGGGCTGAAAGCAGAGATCTTGAAAATAAGAAATATTGAAAAATTTTAACTACACCTCCCTTTTCCTAGCGAATGCTGTAGAAGATGTTCTAGACTAGAATATTTCAGCTCTATGCAGACTGTTAACTTTGTTTCTGCGACGTGTGGTAGTTCACTTACAATTTTGCTGAAGTTTTGTGTGACGTTCAAATGCTGTTCGATCTTTGGGACCTGTGAATGCTGTAATGAAACAGGGCAAACGGGTGTTTAGCTGGGGGAAGACAGAGGAGGGAGAGAATCTGGAGGGATATTGCATAGAGCTCAGCAGAACCTGTGCAGGGCAAGGTGATGGCGCTGCTGTCAGGGAACAGCTTCTGCCCCTGCCACCCCATTGGAATACGCTGGGTGGGCTCTTCAGAGCAGGCAGACTTGAGGGCTGCTGGCTGGCAAGCTGTTGTAAAAATGCTGCGTGCAACTTCAGCTTAATAAAAGCTTCTATGCTGTAGTTTTCTGTCAGAAACAGCTCTCCAGAGCGGAGAAGACGTTCTCCTCAGACAGCCTGGATAGGGGATCTATTCGTTAGTTGTGTACCTAATAAATTGCAGTATGAATGTATTCATTAGTTGCTTTCATTGTAGAGCATCTACTGGAGTTTTGTGGTTATTTTTGTATAAAGTTTTGTAGTGTTTTCATTTAAAGTTTTTGTCTGTTTCCTCCCTAGGTTCAGCTGAAGAATTACAAGACAGAGAATGAAGCCTTGAGGTCGGGCCAGTCAGCAAGTCTGTCCGTGGTGAAGCAAAACGCAGACCTTGCCTTGCAGAACCTCCTCACGGTCATTACAAACTCCCGCTCCTCAATCAAGTGAGTTGGTTTAAGACTCCCCTAATGCTGTCCCTGATGTCACAAAGTCACAACTAAATGTCCCAAGTGGGCTTTTTAGGATTGAAACTCAGGTTCTTGTATTCTGTACGCCAGATCAAGTAGTCAGTGTCCTTAATTACCTGCAATGTATTTTCCTCCAAGTTGAGGTATTAAAAATAAGTAAGTCTAATTTTTTCATTTAATGTAAACCCATTACGTTTAGACTCTCAAAGTCTAACACTTCACTTCTCTAAGACTTCAAGAAGTGAAGTCTTCAGTCCAGATAAACCACTTCTTGGAAAAAAAAAAAAAAAAATCACATTGTGTGGGTAAACACCACCAAAACACTGCCTGGCTGCTTCATCCTCTCAGCCTCACGCTGTCTCTCTCCCCTTTTCCAGGCAGCTGGTCTCTGGAGCAGAATCACTGCAGCTCGTCGCTGACATCCTTAAGTCAATAGACAGAATTTCTGAAATCTCAGAAGAGGGACAGTAAAACTACACAACGGACTCTGATAGAGAACTTTGCTTTCATGCAGAAACCGTGACTTAAAAGTTCATTCCTGACATTCAGCCTCGTTAGGACACGGGAAGCTGTTGAGCGCTGCTGCAGAGCCGCTTTTCCATCTCCACCCACCATCCAGCCGCGGCCGCCGGATCACTAGAACCCGAACGGACAAGAGTATGTGGGCCGGGACCTCGGGCCCTCCTCCCCGGGCACCCCGCTTCCCTTTGTCTCCCCATCGGGCGTTCCTGGCCGCGGTGGGATGGGGGGCGGCGGGGCCCGGCCTCCGGCGGCGGTTTGTACCGGGGTTTGTGGAGCTATTAAAGGCGGCGGCACAGCCGGTGTGCGGTCTCGGGGGGAGGGAGCAGGGACCCGGGAGCGCCCTCTCGCCGGCCACGTACCCCGGCCCCGCCGCGGCGTGTGTGATTGGCTGTGCGGTGTCACGTGCGGGGGGGGGGTCTCAGCTGACCGAGGTGCCCA